CCGGCTGCGGCGTCTCAGTATACCGCGAGCTGTAGCTCCCTATATACTGAGCCTAGGGTGACGGGAGGGCGCTAGTTTGTGTCCTCCCGTTACCCTGAGGAGAACTATCGGGAAAAGCCCTGACCCCATACTTCTCCTTTAATGAGATTTGAAAAGTGCAGTCACATGGCTGAAAATAAAAGTTTTTGTTCTTGCGTGAAGCCTTATGAATTGCGCCAATAGGGTGCGAAGGGAGGTGTTGTTTTGCTCATGGTTTAAAGGGCTTACCTGGAAAGGACATGTCCTCCCTGTGCTTGCATGGTTTTCCACCCACACTCCAAAGATATGCTGGAAGGTTAATAGGCAGGGCCGGTGCTACCACTAGGCAAACTAGGCAGCCGACTAGGGCGCACTCAACCACAACGGCACCCCCCATCTATTTCAAATTGCGAAAGCCAATAGGCTGGCTATTGCACCCGCCCACTAAGAAGAGGAGCGGAACTGAAAGACAACTTTCTCTCTCAGGCCTGCCCTCCTCTGCTCAGTGGGTGGGGGTTTTAATAGCCAGTCTGCCATTGGCTATTTCAAATTAAATTTCATCCTCCTGTTGCATGCGGAACCTAGCTGGCAGGATAATGGGGCCGCCGCAGTGGTCTTGCCTAGGGTGCAAAATAGTCTAGAACCGCCCCTCTAGCACTAGGCCCGTGTCTAAAAATTCCCCACAAGCAGCTGGTTGGGGGGCACAGAAGGATCTTCCTTCTGCGTTCGAGATTGGCCCCTACCGTGTTCGGGGGAGCTCAGGTTCTGACCGGGTTCGGTCTGAAGACGATCTCATTTCTACTAGCGAAGAGCTTGCTGAGTTAAGGAGAGAGCAGAACGCTGGCATCATCAGTCTTCTTCTTCTCATTCACTGCCCAATGAAATGTTGGGAGCGGGGACAAAACCTACTTGTATTACCAAATTGCAGTAGAGCGATGCCAAGTCTCCAGGCGTGCTGTATAAATATCCCAAATGAATGGACAGAAATACAAATCATTTGATGGCGGCGTATCTGTGTATTAAGCTGGGTGCCCGGAGCTGGGCTTTAATCTGTTTAGGGCCAATGTCAGGGGCGTAACTAGAAATCACAGGGCCCATAGCAAAATTGCTAGTTATGCCACTTGCAGAGCCCACCTGAGGCTGACCCTGCAGAGCCCACCATAGATTCTCTATAGTGGGCTCTGCAGGGTCTCAGATGGGCTGCACACCTTACCTGTCACCACTGTCCGGCTCCGTGGTCGCTGGGCCCCCCCTCTTCTTCTGTCCCCGGGCCCCGCCTCCTTCTATCGACGGGCCCGCCTCCTCTTACATCACTGGCCCCACCTGCTCTTAGGTCGCTGGCCAGTGATGTAAGAGGAGTCGGGGTTGCTCTTAGGTGGGCCCTGCCTCCTCCTTCACTGCGGGGGTCCGAGAACTCGATGAGTTCGAACTCTCGATCGAACACTGGTGTAACCGGCCTCTTCTGCCGCAGCTGCTGGCTGTCACTGACACAGCCGCTGCGGAGCTGTGTCAGTGACAGCCAGCACACTGATATGCCATAGCGACCCAGGCGGCCCACACGGCATCAGAGGGATGCCCTGGCCAGGCCCCCCTGTGGCCAGGCCCCATAGAGGCCGCCTGGGTCGCTATGGCGGTTGTTACGCCACTGGCCAATGTATAAAAGCTACAAATAAGTTAATATCGTTATCCTTTTCACTACAGGAAATCCATCAGGTCTCCGTAAACTGTTGTAACTGCAACTTATCCAGCGTTCCTGCGGATTTGCCTAAAGAGACGAAGAGCCTAGATCTTAGTTTTAATCCTCTTAAGCATATCAGCGGTTTGGCAAGACTATCCCGACTCCAGATTCTCGATCTCACGAGGTACAATCTTCATTTTCCACATAACAATAGATAACTGTGCTAGATTTCCATTATAATAAAGTGATGTGATCTTGTTAGGGAAGGAGCGAAGTCCCCCTGTTTGCTTGATTGGAACCCAATAGCAGGGATCAATCCCAGAAGGAGAGTCCAGGCTGAGGTACAAGAAAGGATAATCCAAAATGCGTTGTCAGAGTACAGTCCGGGTCGAGGCAGGCAGCGAGTATCATAAACGGTGAGGCAAGCCAGGGGTCGATAACCAGGAGATCCGAATAGCAGGGAAGGGAGGCAGGAAATGAGGCGTTGTAGCTAAAACAACATCCAGGGTTTATCTAATGATACAGTCCAGGGTTTATCAAAAAGGTTAGTGAAAGTGGACCTTTAATGGAACCCCTATGGCTGTTCTTACACCCAGGAGCAATTCTTGGTGTTGGTCTACAGAACACCTCTCATCATCTCCATAAGGAGGAAAAGGGCTGGGAAGGGCTGACAACACTAATTAGACACATTCATCTGGACTTCCTCTGCAGTGTAGAAGATGTTTTGCCACTCAACAAAAGTATCTGCTTCAGTTCAAATAGGTGCCAGGAACATTCCTTAGCATTTATAGCCGGGGTATAGTTCTGATGCTCAATTGAGCCGAGGAACCTGCTTAGATGAGTGGTAAACGGTCATTAACATTACAGAACAAGTGCCTAGCTGCTACTAGATATGCTATGAACTGGATGAATGAGAAACTTCAAAGACAACGGTAGGTCATATATTGGTCTACGGAACACCTCTCCTCATCTCCATAAGGAGGAAAACTGGGAACAATGCTTGGATTTCCAATGCAGAAGGGGCATTATGGTCAGCTCACACAGCAAACTAGGAAATTAGTGGATTTCTGGCAGATCACCAGGTATGTTTCTGTACTTGCAGCATTTTAAAGAGACAATGAGGGGAATTTATCAAATCTGGAGCAGTTGCCTATGGCAACCAATCAACTTCTCTCTTCTGCTTGTTCAGTTAAGCTTTGAAAATGAAAGGTGGACGCTGATTGGTTACCATGCACAGCTGCTCCAGGTATTGTCTGCTCCAGTTTTGATAAATCCCCCCCAATGTGTATGTATTGTAGGGAAGTACGGTATAAGTTTTTTGCATTTTGCCCAGATATATACTCTCACATTTCCTTAGCATATTACACATCCTATCTGTTTCTTTCTGCAGGTGTGGTATAACTTCAATAGAAGACAATACATTTGCTGGCCTTGGCACTTTGCATACTTTAATCCTCACCGGAAACCCAATCAAGCATTGGTCCCAAGTGGCCTTCACTGGTCTCTATTCTCTAACAAAACTTGTTGTCGTGGAGACATCTCTTGCATCCCTTTCCGAACTTCGCGTAGAGCATCTCCGCTCGCTGCAGGAATTAAATGCTGCAAAAAACAGGATCGACCGCCTCTACGTCCCCTCCTTTTTATTTCATCTTCATACTCTCGATCTTCGTGCCAACAATATCTCCAAGATCAACCGGGAAGATGTGGAAAATCTACGACGGGCCAATACATCAAACCTCAGTCTCATATTGTCTCAGAATCCCATACACTTCATTGATCCCGGTGCTTTTTGGTTCGTTGCTCTCCAAATGCTACACCTAAAAGGTTGCTTTTATCATGAAGATATTATGAGGGCCTGCTTAAATTCCCTCTCGGGTCTTCAAGTGCAGAAGCTAGTGCTTGGACATTATAGGATGTATCGTACGCAGATTTACTTCAAGGAAAATCTTTTTGAAGGATTATGCGGGGTGGATGTCGAGGAGGTGACAATCAATCACATCTCTTTAGAGAATACTTATACCTTTTTCGACTGCATGGAAAACATCACATCTCTGCGTTTCATACACGCCAGCTTGTACGGCTTCGATAATAGTCCTTTTACGTCAAATATGAAGAGATTTGAACTCCAAAAAACATTCATCACCACGGTACCTTCCTTCATCTTTTCCAAGTTAAAACAACTTAAGGAGATCCGGATAACAAACAACGAACGGCTCACCACCTTCTACCACTCACTGCTTGGAGTGAACACACTAGAGGTACTCGATTTGAGTAATAATAAACTCATGATGGTGGCGTGCTGTGAGAAGCAAGTTCCCGGGACGTCCCTCAAACACCTGGATTTTAGCTATAATTCGTACATCGGCCTGAGGAGTTTTTTTCTGGATATGCCCCACCTTCTGTCACTAAATCTGAGTCACTCCAAGGTGGACAGTGTCGGACAGTTTCCAATATTTATGTCTCTGAACAATCTGACTTATCTTGATCTGTCCTACACGTCGTGCCATTTTATGATTCACTGTTCTTTCTGTGGACTCTACAATCTAGTGGAGCTACGTGTATCTCATACCACATTTGCCCCTGACGTATTAGGCTCTGTTTTCCATAACTTAAGTAGCCTTCGTCTTCTTGACATGTCCTCTTGCGACGTACAGCACATACCCAACGAAACGTTTGAACACCTCAAAGGGCTGCAAGTCCTGAACCTGAGCAAGAACAAGTTGATAGAACTCATGCCACCTGTTCTGCTTTCTCTTTCTGCTCTATGGCATTTCAATGTAAGCGGTAATAACATCCAGGGTTTGTCTAATGGTACGCTCCAGGTTTTATCAAGAAGCTTAGCGAAAGTGGACCTCTCAAGGAACCCTTATGACTGCTCATGCACCCAGGAGCAATTTTTGGTGTGGGTCAACGAACAAAGCGCCAAAGACCTAAACTTCAGTACTCTTATGACGTGCAAGACACCAGAACACCTTCAGGGCACGCTACTTAGGGAAGTCCACTTGAACTGCAGCTGGACTCTCATATATATCAGCCTGTTGGTCATTGTGGTCATTATGTTTCTTGCATTGCTGATGTACCACCTCTACTTTAAATACTGCTTTCTGTTTTTTTGTTTTTGCCGCCGAGACTACCAATTGTCAGTGACAGAGAATACCTACGATGCTTTCGTCATACACTCCAGTTTAGACGAGGAATGGGTAAGGAATGAGCTGCTTCCGGAACTGGAAAACGGCGTACCGTCTTTTCAGCTCTGCGTCCATTTCAGAAACTTCGAAGCGGGCAAGCTGATCTTGGAAAACATTTTCTACAACGGTATCTGCTGTAGCCGTAACGCTCTCGTCATCCTTTCCCCAAGCTTTATCGAGAGCAAGTGGTGTTCTTTTGAGCTAAAGTTGGCCATGTTCTGGACGTTCTTGGAGAACCAGTGTGGAGTAATTCTTATCCTACTGAAACCCGTCACGGAAGATCAGCTTAAAGATATGTACGTTCTGAGGAAACATCTCAGCAGAAACACGTACCTCAAATGGGACGATGACCAAAAAAACAAGAAGGAGTTCTGGAAAAGCTTGAGGCAGGCATTGGGGCGAGGTCAGAGGGTGGCAGTTCCTCTTCTGGGTCATAATAGTGCGGAGATATGTCAACGGCAGAATAAACAGAACAAAGAGACAACACAACTGTAACGTGTCTATAGTATATGGAAGAAAGAATCTGATCTGAGGAATATCAGCTCTTTCGTCACGGACGTTAAATCACATTCCGTTAAAGTGCCTTGGTTCAAATTAAGACCGAACTCTAGTCTTACCTTCACTGGACTGAAATTGCGTGAGCGTCTCACAATGTCTCTTTCATTGCACCTCAGTTCTTTCAATCATGGAGGCTCAGCATCACATGTTGGCATTACCCAGGCCAGTTTGCATGCAAATACAGCCTGCATAGGAACCCCCACTCCTCCAGGTTGACATCCATCCATGAGCAGGACCGGATTTCCCACAAGGCCAACCAAGGCCCGGCCTGGGGGCAGCAGGGAATACAGGGGCAGCAGGGGTGTGGACTTCCTATCTCCCGATGCCCTGGCTGGTAGTTGTTTTCTACAGTTAGCCCTGCTTTGGGCAAACAGAGCTAAATGTACAGCGGGGAAGCCACCGCTTGTTTTGTGCAAGTGATTTTGAAGATGTCACCAAGATCACTTGTATGCAGCCTGCAGGTCTGCCATTCTCTATGGGGGGGGGGGTGTAGGCGGACGCATTGAGGAACCTGGCCTTGGGGCAGCAGAGAGAGTAAGTCCGGCCCTGCCCATGAGTGATGTGGTTCCTACCACTGACCCCTGCCTTACTACAACACATGTAGGTCTACAGAAGGTACCACAGCGTGGACCAGAACCAGGAAGATCCTCTGGCGGTGGTAGGAAGTAAAGATGGGCCAAGTACAGTAAACTCCCCATTATCCAGCATCCACGGGGATTGGTAAATTCCGAATAAATGTCATTCCTGTCACATGTTGGCATTACCTAGGCCAGTTTGCATGCAAATACACCCAGCATAGGAACCCCCACTCCTCCAGGTTGACATCCACCCATGAGTGATGTGGTTCCTACCACTGACCCCTACCTTACTACAGCACATAGAGGTCAATAGAAGGAACCACAGCGTGGAGCAGAACCAAGAAGATCCTCTGGCGGTGGTAGGGAGTAAAGATGGGCCAGGTACAGTAAACTCCCTATTATCCGGCATCCACAGGGATTGGTAAATTCCGGATAAATTTAATTTCTGGTTGCTCAAGGGTTACTACTAAAAATAGGTCCAACTAATACCATACCCCATACTATACCATAATATAAACTCTGTATTGACTTCATATTGATACTGAAATGCAGTAATCAAAGACAAATAGACACACGATCGTTTCCAGGATAATACATGCCGCAGAAAATTAGAACAGTGAGGACACAGGGGGATTTCTTTTTCTGGTTAGATGAGAGTTTTGGTTAGTCGAATACCGGATAACGGAGAGTTTACTGTATTACCCTTTTTTTTGTACAGGAATTGCATTGCGTATTTATTTATTTATTTATTTTCAGAAGAAGCAGCGTTGCTTTAAATGTTAAAGTGCGTGTACAGGCAAACCCTTTTTTTGCTTTAGACATAGTAGGTAAGAGATAAAACCCCTGTTGAGTTATTTTATGCTACTTGTGTCTTGGGTCACTTGTGTGTGGGTCAGATTTAACTTCACTTCCTGTCCAGGAGACTCAACAGGCAATGGGAGAAAATCTCCCCAACGTAATTTAGATTCCCATATTAGAGAGCTGTCATTGGAACAGTTGTCCCCTTTGGATTATTTTCCCCGGGGACACCTTGCTCTTAAGACAGCTCCAAGATTTTGGGATTTCTCTTCACTTTCTGTGTCGGTGACAGTAGTCGTCAGAGGGCCGAATCTTCCCAGCAAGGACATAGACAGCAATAAAAATCCGACAGAGGTTCGCAGTCCCCAACTTTCCTATTCTATCCAAAAGTTAAAGGAGAACTATGGGGTAAGTGTTTTTTCTCATACTTCTCCTAATGGTCACGGGAGGACATATACTAGCGTCCTCCCGTCACCCAAAGCTCAGTATATAGAGAGCTACAGCTTGCGGTATACTGAGACCGCCGCAGCCGGGACGGATCCCGACAATTATGTCTGGATCCGCCCAGCTGCGTGATTGACAGCTGGCTCTGCCTATCTAGAGGCAGAGCCAGCTGTGCCCGCCCCCTCCCCCGTCCGTTCCGCCAGTCAGCGCTGGAGGATCGGAGCTGGGAGGGGCGGAGTCCCTGCAGGGAGCCGTGAGTGACAGTCACCTCTCTCTGTAGGGACAGGATCGAGAAGTGAGCGAGCGACGGTATGCGTTCGCTCACTTCCCGATCTATTAAGCCGACGTGGGACAGTTTCATTGTCACACGTCGGCTCCAACTATGAGGACGACTGGAGATCACTCCCCTCATAGTTCTCCTTTAACAAAAAATGATTGCCTTTCCATGCACTTTAATTTTGTAAATTAGACATGCCTCTCGCGTCACGAATTAGCTCTGCTGTTAAATAAACCGAGTTCATGTAAATGAAACTATATATATACACGTTTATAATAAAGAATGTTGGTGACTCAATAATATCCTATTTCTTATATGTATGGTGAAAGATACGGGCCTATAAATAAAAAGAGAAGCAGTCCATAACAAGCCAATGGTCCCATTACCGTTTGTATACCCCATTCGCAGGCCACGGACGTACCTAGTACGCCATTGGCAGCACGGCCCTGTAAACGGGCTAAAGCCGCCAGGACTCTGTTTACATTTGTGAAGCCGGCTGCCGCCAGATCGCTTCTACGGGCCGGTATAGTGCCCGATTCCCCCCCTCCCGACACCCCTGCTGTGTTTAACAGGCTCCGCTGCCCCTCCTCCGGGCCTGGGACTGGTATATCGGATGCCAGCGGGAAGCTGGGTAGGTGAGCGGCGAACCCAATGGTTTCATTAACATTTTTAACCCTGTTGCATCCACAGACGTACCTAGTAAGTCATTAGCAGCACGGCCCTGTAAACGGGCTAAAGCCGCCAGGACTCTGTTTACATTTGGAAAGCGCCGGCTGTCGCCAGATCGCTTCTATGGGCCCGTAAAGTCCTCGCTCCCCCGCCAACAGCCCCACCATGTTTCCCGGGCTCCGCTGCCCCTCGTGCGGGCCGGGGACTGGCATGCCGGGTGCCAGCAGGAAGCCGGGGAGGAGAGCGGGAAACATGCCCTTGCCTTTCCCCTCCCCGTTCTATGTGACCGGGAGCGATGAGTATTGCATCACTTCCGGTCCCTGAGCTGTCATTGTTCGGCCCCTGAAGCCCAGCAATAAGCTATTAAAGTGCGATCTGCACCCCAGTAGCTTATTTAAAGTGGAAAGGTGACACTAGGGGTCCTGTATCACCTTAAAGAGAACCTGTCACTGCCATTATGCTATCACATGGCGGGACCTGTAAGGCCCCCCCCCCATCCCCACGCTCTACACATGTTGGGTATCGCCGCTCATGCCAGAGTGACAGGAATACTTCTAGGGGTATGGACCTGATACCCCAATATCAGGAAAGTTCACTGGACGGTGGTCCAGGACCTGCAAAAAGAGTCACGCCGTCCATATGTTTAATGGAATATTATTTCTTTATTACATTTAAAAATTGTAACATCAACCCGACGAGGAAAAAAAGGCGTAATTCCCTACTGCCGACCTGTATGAAGGGGAAATGAATGCATGTGGATGCCGAGTGTAATTATATCACTCAATGAAAATATTCCTTTTTTTTCAGCTACCTAGTAACACATTAAATATTAAATGGCCTGGCAAGCCTGAGTGTCTTCAGCTCAGCTGGCTCCTCAACATCAGATTAAGGTGCATTAGGTATGAGAAATTATTGATGAGTAAAGCGCCGTATACCGTAGTTAGGTGTATTATGTTTAATTAACTAAAGCGTTGCTATATATGTTGTTGTGAGGCATAGGGAGGATACATATTTTACATACATGTAGTTAAAGGAGAACTATGGGGTCAGGGCTTTTCCCCATAGTTCTCCTAAGTGTAACGGGAGGACACAAACTAGCGGCCTCCCGTCACCCAAAGCTCAGTATACCGCATTGTTCGCTCCCCTTCCAATCTACTGAGCCGACCTGTGACAGTCTCATTGTCACAGGTCGGCTAGAACTATGAGGTGAGTGAAAATCACCCACCTCGTAGTTCTCCTTTAAAGAACTTCGGACAATATAAAAAAAATTTACCTTCAGAGGGGATCTTACCCCAGTACTGCAAGGGTTCAGTGCTCATTTTGGTCTAGGGCTGGAATAAGGTGGAATTACTACCTATACCTGGCTTTCTCCGAGCGGCTAGACCAGTTCCCACAGCCTCTTCTTCTCTGTGCTCCAGTGGTCTAAGGACCACTGATGTCATTATGTCTTATGGAGGACCATTGACCTGCATTAGATGTGAGGACCAGCGGCATAACTAGAAATCACAGGGCCCCGTAGCAAAATTTTGTATGGGGCCCCCCCCCCCAAACCTGAAAGTGACCCTGCAAAGCCCAACTGAGACCCTGAAGAGCCCACCATAGACCCTGAAGAGCCCACCTGAGACCCCGCAGAGCCCACCATAGACCCCGCAGAGCCCACCATAGACCCAGCAGAGCCCACCTAAGACCCCTCAGAGCCCACCTGAGACCCTACACAGCCAACCTGAGAGTGACCCTGCACAGCCCAACTGAGACCGTGCAGAGCCCACCATAGACCCCGCAGAGCCCACCTGAGACCTCTCAGAGCCCACCTGAGATCCTGCAGAGCCCACCATAGACCCCGCACATACCAGAGACCCTGCAGAGCCCACCGGAGAGTGACCCTGCAGAGCCCACCATGGACCCTGAAGAGCCCACCTGAGACCCCACAGAGCCCACCATAGACCCCACAGCACCAACCTGAGACCCCGCACATACCAGAGAACCTGTACAGCCCACCTGAAAGTGAACCTGCAGAGCTCACCATAGACCCCACGCAGCCCACCATAGACCCTGCACAGCGCACCATAAACCTCGCACAGCCCACCATAGACCCCACATAGCCCACCTGAGAGTGACCCTGCAGAGCCCACCATACACTCTCTATAGCAGGCTCTACAAGGTCTCAGGTA